TCAAACAAACCCGAACAATATTCGCTACAGTATTAGACATATAACACGGCAACAAAGTAACGCAATTAAACCACACAATTTAGATACACTTAGTTTCGCCATATCTAGAAGTAACAACTTTATAGGCGAGACAGCCCCATAAAATATGTACCTGCCAATTCGTTAGTCTCACCATTCTCTCCGTATTCCTTCGCTTTCACTTCCAGAATCTCACACTGTTTTACAACCTAAAACAAGATCCTATTAAACTAAAGATATTCAGAAATTACGCATGAAAGAAGAACGGGCGATAAAATCTGGAGTCTCGTCAATTCAAATGTCATAATCATTTTTTGAAATTTTGAATGGGATTAATTTAAATACTCCAAAAAAAAACCCACTTTGGAATTAAAATTTTAACGTTCGGAAACCCATTTTACATGCAGTACAATGTGCTTGTAATTTTAGCCAAGTTCACGATGACGTTTACACGGAACTGAACTAATCCACATCAGCTACACAAAATTTATAATAGATTCTTGGAAAATAATAAACGTCAAAAAAGGAACCAAAATAAACATTAGGATTAGCTAAAAAGGCGGTGGATAGGGAACAATGTCTCACTAACCCTTCGGCATACTCTGTGGCTAGGTTTCATGTAGTGATATTCCATAATCCAATCTCAAACGTCCTAAGAGCGATGCAGAAAGGTGGCACGTAATACGTTCACAAAGTGAAACTGATGTTGATAGTTACTCTAGTCCATTTGCCTCCTCTCATTTGATTCTTTCCTCTATTTTTTTTGGAAAGTACCCCACTGATTATTAGGTTCTGGGTCAATATCCGAGCAGTAAATTCCGAAACATTTAGTGGGCCGTAAAAAAGACGCTTTATAACTCCAAACTGAATTAAGTCTTTCCGGATGGGGTCTCTGACTTTCACAGACCTCTGACAGTACATTACGTTGATTTAACATCGAAATAAGAGCATATCAAAATAACAATCACGATAAGACTGACATTTTAAAGATAGCAGCTAAATGATATGAAACCGTTAACTTCCGTCTCCTATTGAAAGAACTTCATTTATAGCCAAAACTGCACAACTACGACTAATGCAAGCTCAGTCTACTTCATGAAAAAAAAAGATCTGCTAGCATAGCAATCAATTGTCAGTAGTGAATCTTTTGAGAACTCCTAAAGCAAATTAATCAACCTTATTCAACTCTGAAAGAAGCGTTGACTGTTGCAACCGGAACTCTTCTTCCTGTGATGACAATTTATGCTGCAGAAGGCGAACTTCATTTTCTAGCTTTTCATTTGAGTTGTCCTTGTCTTTCTTGCGACCAACAAGCTGAACTTTTCTAATTAAGTAAAATTCATTTGCATTCCGGCTAATTAACTGAAATTCATTTTAGCATAGATATCATGCTTATTAGTTCCCAGTTTCGTAGTTTTGATATATTGTATTAAGATATTAATGCTATTCCGTAGTATGCCACATACAATACGGTCCATTCTTTCGACCAAATTCCGAAAACGTGAAATATCATTGGACCAAAATACAGTTAATCAGACATCACTAAGATTGTCACGACCTCTACGGATGTTTGTGAATGGACTCATCTACAAAATTTCCCAATCTTTCAAACGCAGTTTCTGCAAATATTTACATATGAATCCTTTGACAAAAATTTCTAAGCTTTCAATAAACTCGAAAAGAATTGCTATTAACATTTCTGGATGAAAATCCAATCAGTTAAGAGAATCAAATTTTATACCTTAGACGCAAACAGCAATGCATCCGTGCCTTTAGAAGATAAACTAGTTATGTAATTATGTTGACGTCTGTTCTCTTCCAACAATTCATAGTTACGCTTCCGTAGTTCCAGAAGCTGTTCCTGAAGACGATAGAATTCCTCTTCGGATATCGAAGCGCTCACATTGTTAATCGTTCCATTCCTCAGTTCATTATCAGGAGGAGTATCATTAGTTACTGACATTGCTTTGATACATACACAAATACTATTAAATCTAAAATTACTTGATAATTGCAACCAACTGTGAACAGTTTCATGCTTGCAATAGCAATCTCCAACGCGAAAAATCCGCCCCATAACTTATTCCGGTGGAAAAACACCGCCCCGATGAGCCGATTTCAAGCCGTCAGAATGATCTTCACATGAATGCAACTGCAATGAAAACAAGTGTTTCACAACTAACTGTACATTTACTGATTCGTTCATTTTGCTTCTTTTAGAGAGGATTTCGTTAATTTAAGTCGATAAAAGAGGATAGGGAGTGTCAAATTTTACCAAACAGTTCATATCGTGAATCTGTTCCTTGAACAGATGACTTTTTCTTAATCGGATGGCATTTTTGCTTTGTGCCAAACGAAGTAATGTTACCAAAACAATCATTGATTGATGAAATTCCATAGTATTATTCTGACGGTCATTAATGATGATCTATGAATCACGTACTAAATGATTGCCAATGATATAGTGATAAATAAGGAAAATACTTTTACACGGACTTACTTCTATTATCTCATCATTTTAGCTAAATGCAAATTTCAATTTCATTTATTTATAGTACATTTATTTGCCAGGAAAGAAGGACATGATTCCCGTATTCTATATCTACTCTTACTTTTACTGTAATCCTTTCATTCAACTTATCATTTATGAATTTATCATTGATAATATGATGTTTACCAATTTTGATGAATGGATAACATTTGTTATTGCTGTTAAATGATCACTAATTTATTAGAAATGAAGTGACAAAAGAGAATATTGGAATGATAAGTGTGGTAAAAAGGTTAATAAGTACAATTTCATTTAAACTATTGTTAATAAATTTCCTTTCTGATGCCAAATAAGCACATAATTCAGAAAAAAAAATATATTAAAATAAAGAAGGGAAAAAATCAATAGTAAAACCAGTATGAGGTAATATAATAAATGATATGTACGGGAATAGTAGTAACCAGATATATTTGATAACATTATTGTAGTATCATTTAATTATTATTGATAATAGGTTCACGTGGAGGTCGACGTGTTGTTGAAGTGAGTGGAGTAATTTTGCCTGGTATGCTTGATCGATATTCCGCAATGAAACCTTTCTGTTCTTCAGATTCATCCGTAATCAGAAGTAGTAGCAAACTTCTTCCGGTTGATGTAAACGATGGTGGTAGCTTGAAAAGTTTTTATTTTTCATTGAAATATTTGATGAAATTCTAATAGCATGAATTGGAATCAATATTTAACGCATGACGGGACATATATTTTTGAACGTTTGAAGCAAACCAAAAAAAAAAAAGATATATACCGTAACCGATTGCATTATTAAGGAAAAGATAGAGTAACTATTGAAAAAATCTTTCAACGTTTACAAAAGATGGATTGATTTGATGTAAAAGTTGATTAAGATTATGAGGATCAATTTTGTAGTGCAAGCAAGCAATCATCAAATTCCGGTATTTCTTGTACTTTATGATAAGAATATGAAATGAATTACCTTATCACCACAATATCGAGCTACACGATGTTCTTCCAAAATTTCACCTCCATCATAAATCTCTACATAATCGAACTCGCAATTCACCTCACGTTCTAAATCAAATTGCGCAAAGCGAATGTTTACACCTCGATTTTGTTGTGCCATAATTCGCCATTCACATCTGAAATTAAAATTTACTGCAAGAATTTCGTTTCATTGTTCATTTACATGGTTACATCTCTTATCATCTTATTATGTGATAAGATTAAAATATTACGGATGTCATTTTGGAAGTTCCTTTTTTTTTTTTTTTTTCCTTTAACATTTATTGAAGGAGTTAACATTGAATAAGCTGTGATTCTTACTAATGCATGAGTAATAAATATCATAAATTTATAAGTATTCTCTGTTAATTTACCTCATCTTTTTCTCATATTTGCCATCACTATAACGAGCATGCGAGTAAATATAACCAATAGTTTGTTCAGCTTTCAAATTACCACCACAAACTAAAATTAAACAATGTAATAAACCAAGGATCATAATATTATGATCAAAATCAACAAATCAATTCTTGTCCAGATTAAAATGTTCCTAAGAAGATATGCATTAAAATAATACAGGTCCATTCAAAATATGTGCAACTAAAATTCATATAAGCTTTTTTTTTTAACAATTATTACCTGTTAACGACCAATTTCTTCTTCGCCTATTATCACATAATATAAATGTCTTATAACGCATTAAATTTTCTTTTTTTTTTCCAGAATTTTAAATATATGAATAAAATTCTTTGAAATTAATCGTATCCAACAATATGAATAAAAATATGTTTCATTCGATATACCTGAAGAAAAGAAAGCCTTAAATCCACGCCGATCAACGCTAGCATCCGTAAGCATTGTCATGAATAATTGATTAGCGGATGATTGTAAATTTGGTGGTATATCACTACCACAAAAGATTCCTAATGATGTCGCATCACTATTGCCACCATCAAATATTTCGATATGGTCGTATTTGCATGTATTATGTTCTTCAAACATGAATTCTTCAAATGACTGTAAAATGTTTTTCTTTTTTTTTTAATTTTGCAACAATATAATTAATATTAAAGAAGAAAAAAACTCTGTATACTACCTTTGTGTCATCTGTTCCTATTTCAGTTATTCAGGCATTTCAGGTATTTGTAACATTCATTCCTATTCCGGTTATTTAGATAGATTTATCAAAATCATTTATCACAAAACTGACGATTCAAACTTATCATTTCTTTTTTCGTTTTTTGCTTAAAATTGAAATTTAAAAATAATACTAACAATTGAAAGACGATGTCCTGGTGTTGTTACAAAATGCCAATTGCAATTTTTCCCTTTTGGATAATCAAATGGATAATTTGGTGAAGTAATTTCACCTTCTGGATCATACACCTGTAAATTACATCCACCCTCTTTACAGTTATGTCCATCATCTGCTAAAACATAACCACTTTCACATTCGCATTGATATGAACCTGGAAAATTTTCAATTTTAAAATTTTCTTATAAATTTATAATTCCAATCGTTACTCATTTCAACACAATTTATTACCTACTGTATTAAAAATTTACAAAAAGCATTTAATATTGAATAAAAATTTAATAAATGAAGACGAGAAAAAAACCAATTGTGTTCGTGCAACGTTGTTGACAACCAGCATTGTTATTGCGACATTCATCTAAATCGGTGATAAAATATGCCATGAAGCCATTTTTTTCGATCTATAATAGCAATTAATATATTATTTAAATTAAATGTAAAAGGAAAATATTTTCCTTTACAATAATTTCATTCTTCTCCTTTACCATTTTCCTTATCAGTTCAAATTTAGGAATTGTTAAAACTTTCATTCAGTTGTACAAAATATTTAAGGTGATAAACAAAACAAAAGAAAAAAAAACCTAGATTATTTTGTTTACTGCAGATTATCAATGCTCTATTAAGCTTCAAATTATATATATATATATACACTGATAAATGCTGATAATAATAAATAGTAATGAAGTAAGCAAATTAAAAAAAAAAATGAAAATAAAAGTAAAAAAAAAGGAAAAAACTGAACCGTATTATCGGAAACGAATGAAACTTTAATTCGATTTGTTGTTGATGTATAAACTAATGAATTATAATGTCCACAATATCGTTCTTCCATTCCTTCATCATTTTGAATGAGAACATAATCATATGAACATGCTGATTTCATTCCTTCCACATCAAAATTTGTAAAATTAACAATAATTTGATATTCATTATCAGCTTCAATTTTGCCAAACACATGTTTTAAGTGGTGTATAATTCAGTGGATAATTTGGACTATGAAATGTTCCATTGGATCCTTTAATAATACCACCACATGTACCTAAAATAATTTTAAAAAAAAAATGAAATAAATATAATTCATTTAAAATATAACGTTTAATTTATTTAGCATAAATTATAATGAAATAATTCATTATAATAAAATTAAAAAATATCAATAACATTTAAAAAAAAAAAAAAGAAATTCTATAATTATTTAATTAATTTTTTTTTTTTTTCTACTTTGACATGTTTTGCCATCTGTACGTAATGAATATCCAATATTACATTGACATTCATAACCACCAATTTTATTCACACAATAATGCTCACATCCATGATTATCTGATTTACATTCATCTATTTCTGAAATTTAATTATATCGATTTTTTGCTTTTTTTTTTCAATATTATAATTCATTTTTATTTTCATTTCATAGTAATTATGTTTTCATATTCGTTTTTTTTTCTTTTTGTGTATGCAAAAATGAAATATTAATCAATTAAATTATTTCGTTCAAAAAAAAAAAAGGAAAAAAAAAGACCTTTAGCATAACTAATATGAAAACCTTCTTTTTGTACCGTACTATCCGAAATAAAGAGTAACAAAACGGTATTGAAATGTGACACAAGTGATTTGGTCATTATCTATAATAAAATGATTAAAAGTATACATTTGGATTATAACTTTAACAAATATAATATGAATAATTAAGAATACTTTATGATATTTTTTGAACTCTTAAAATTTTATTTCAAAATTGAAATTTCAAGATTGCTATAAGTCTCAAAGAAGACCATAACATTGGTTAACATGGATCGAATGACTCAAATTACTGACAGTTTAATTAAAGCGAAAAGTTTTTCGCTAATCCAGAAAGTTCCGATAATTCAACAGGTTTTGGTAATTCAAATTTAAATACACTGCCAAGTTTATTAATTCATCATCGAGTGAAATGTATTCGGATTTATTGAATGATCGGTTTTAGCTTTAATGATTTGATTTATAAGGATGAAATTAATTTGGAAAATATATGCTATCCAATAATCAAAATAAATTTTACCTGACCGCATAATTTCGAAAGTAATGCAGCTGATTCCACTACAGTACCATCGTATATTTCCAATCGATCGTATATACAATCCCGATGTGTTTCAAGCTAAATTTAAACTTTCATCATATCAATCCTTGATTTTACCAAAAAAAAAAGTGATATAAAATCATTTCTAGGGGTAAAGAAAAAATTTTTTACACTTTCTAAAATTGATAACTAAATTTAAATAGAAATTATAAATTTGTAAGTACTGGTTATTGATAGAAGGCAGAAAAAAAAATTACTGGCAATTCAAATATAACTGTTATCAAGGAATTTTGGGAAATTTCAATCATTTATGTAAATTGAAATTTTGCATCATTTATCACATTCAAACTAATAAATTTAACTTCAAAGATTTTCAGTAATTCTATCCTTATTTATTATTTATTTTGTTTATTTATTTATTTTTTGCTATTAATAGCTATTCCGAAAAACTTACACTAAAAAAATGAAATGTTAAAGCAATTTGATAGCCTTCTTGAACCGTAATAAGCCATTTGCATTCTTCATCAGGTTTATAGCTTTCTGGATATCGTGGACTTTGTATGGTACCAATATCACCAACAATATGTCCACCGCAAATAGCTAAAAAATTATGTTATAATTTGTTGCTTGTTCTAAAATTAATTAATCAGTAATTGTTAATAGAAAATAGAATTTTAGTTTTTTTTTTTCAAAAAAGAAAACCAATGTAATGAGCAAAAATGGAAAATAGTGGATAGGATGTTTGTGTTTGAATGAAAAGACGATTGCCAGTTGAAACGATTGTTCGTGATATGACACCACCACATAGTTTATCTGAAATAATTTTAATTTTTTTTTAAATTTTTTTTTATTTAAATTTTTTTGGAAAATTTAAAAGTGATAATAATGGAAATTTGATAGATTAGAGTAAATGATATCATGATATAAAAAAAAAGAAAAAAAAGGAAGATTTTAATTGAATGTTCCTGCATTTGGTTGACATTTATTCTAAATAAAACTTTCGAATACCTATGGTATTCTAAGAATTTCCGAAAACAGAGAAATTTGATCTTCTGGAAAAATAGAACAAAAAAAAACCTTCCAGAATCTTCCATTCCATTACAAATAGTTATTTGAATAATGCATTTAAGAGAGAGAGAGAGAGAAAAAGAAAGAAAGAAATAATGACACTGGTATATGAAATTAATTAATTTAAAAAAAAAAAATTTTGAAAGTAAAAGAACCTGAAATTGGTGAACCAATGTAATGACCATCTCGAATAATTAAATAATTATCTCTTTCTGAGGCACAATCACGTTTTGGTGATGGTAAATCAAGCGTGGAAACGTTGAGGACAATAAATTCACCAAATGCCGCAATGATACGCCAATGGCATATGGTACTACTACCATCCAGACGTAATTCACCGAATTCTTTCACCAATGTTTCACCACAAGCTGACCAAAAGATAATTAATATTGAATAAATGACCAAAAGATAATTGATATTGAATAAATGACCAAAGGGTAATTAATATTGAATAAATGACCAAAGGATAATTAATATTGAATAAATGACCAAAAGATAATTAATATTGAATGAATGGTCAAAAGATAATTAATATTGAATGAATGGTCAAAAGATAATTAAAACTGAATGAATATAGTAATTGTAGCACAGAGTAGTAATAATACTAATAGTATCAGTGAAAATTTTATCATCAGAATTGTCCAAGTTAGAAAAACGATTGAACCCTGGCCATAATAAATCGAACAGGGGTCGCCATTAAAGAGCCCAGAAACATCGAAAAAAAAAACTAATGGTAATCGTTTTCTTTTTTTTTTTCTAGCAATAATAAAACTGCTTAATTTTCTGGCATATTTTCTGCGATATTTTCAATCTACTCAATTACTTATGACATATGCATTTTAATGGGATATTTTTAGGCTACCGTTAGCCAAGGATTAAAATTAATATTTTTGAATTGATTTAAAGTAATAAATAATTTTTTCATAAAAAATTTTTGAAATAAATTATTATAGGTATAGAATAAGATCTTATTAGTTTGTAACTACTGATAACATAGTAATTATAATTGAATGATATGTACATATATATATATATATATATATATCAGAAATTAAATTGTTAAATTCTGAATAGGAATTTGTGAAGAGACCTGCGCATTTATAAAGTTTTTTGTTTGCGAAATGTCACCCAACGATAATTGCATACGTTGGCCAATCTCTGGTCGTTCACCAAATTTTCCTTTTGGTAAAATTGTATCCAAATACATTGCCCGAGAAAATGTATCACGAGCATAATGCATTATCGATGCATAATCATATGGCTCACCGAGAGAATCGATCTCATCAGGTTTCAATTTTTCAAAATTATAATCTTGCGCTAAAATTTATAAAAATTTAATTCCTCTTCAAAATATCATTTATATTTAAAAAAAAAAAACAAGAAAAAAAAGAAAATCAAATTCAATTGAAATTATCTATCCTTTCAATAAATGATTAACAAATTATGTGATCATTTTAATATGTAAAATATGCAATTTGATTATTATATTTTTAATTAGTTGAAAAAAGAAAAAAGATAATTAAGTGACATTAATCAAAAAATCTAAGATGGTCAAATTTTAAATTTTAAATTATTACAAAATTTCACAAATCATTTGTTAATATAACAAATGCATTACATTTCTATGAAATGTTGCTTGTATTGGTATGGAAGATTAATTCTCATCCTAATCCCTTTTTTTTTCGTTACTAAAATTTAAAAAACAATTATTTTAATTTATAAAATAATATTATTAACCTTGTTGAATGCTTTTGTAAAATATATCAACATGTTGATCACGATCAAGACGTGTATGCTCATGCCAAAAACCAATCACATGTCCTAATTCATGTACAACAATACCAAATTTATCACAATTCTTTCCAATGCTTATCGCTTGTGGTCCATTACTTTTTCTGCCAACATATGAACAACAGCTGCAAATATTCATTTTTTTTTGAAATGTTCAATAAATAGCAAATGTTGAATGAATAATGCAAAAATTGGCAAATTTCTTATCAATATTTTATCATTAAGTAAT